CGCATGACGGTGCCGTGGTAGATGATGTTCGCGATCGGGGTAGAGGTGGAGTTGATGTAGGCCTGGATCTCGAGTCCGTAAGCGTATGGAACCACGGATGTCGGGAGCACATGGTCGTCGGCTATGATCGTGTACCCGTCTACCGGATAGTTCATGACGATCATCCCGGCACCGCCGGCTTTCTTGACGACTTCACTCATTTGCACACTGTCAATGACGCCAAGCTGGCACAACACCATCTTTCCGCGGACGTCCACACCATCTAAGGTGCCATTGATGCACATGTAGGCGCCATCTTTAGCCGTGACGAAGCCGGGGTAAACGAGAGGTAGCATTTTGGGGTTGAAGGAACGCGGCCGGTGCAGTGATTCCCCATAGAGCTTTCGTCCGTTGCCGAGCTTCACGGAGGCCAAGAAGAGGCGGTCTGTGGTGCTCGCTCCCACCGTAAGTACCCACGGCGCATCGTTATTCACGGAGCCAGGATCGGGCCCCTCGTTGCCGGCGGAGCAGCTGATGAAGACACCTTTGCCGATAGCGTTGAAGGTACCCTGCGCGATCGGGTCCGAGTGGAAGGGAATTGGGTCGGCGCTGATCGAGAAGGAGAGCACGTCGACCCCATCGTCCACCGCGGCGTCCATGGCGGCCAACATGTCGTGACCCATACATGCGATTTCGTCGCACACCTTGTAGGCAGCGATGTGAGCACGGGGAGCCATCCCGGCAGCGACTCCCGGGGCGAACCCGTTGACGTTGGCATGCTTCACGAACGCCCCGGCGGCGGTGCTCGACGTGTGCGTGCCGTGACCTTCTTCGTCGACGGGCGTGCCAGTCGACCGACGGTCGCGTCCGTCGTGATTGATGAAAGACCTTGCACCGATGAGCTTGTTGTTGCAAGCCGACGCCTTCAAGTCGCAGCGCCCCTTCCACTTGGCCGGCGGCGGCGGCATGCCGTGGTCGTCGTAGGAAGGATGGCCGGGGGTGACGCCGGTGTCGAGGAGGCCGATGATGATCCCTTCGCCCATGTTGCTCTCGTTCCACACGCCGTGGCTCCGGAGCCTCAGTCCCAGGAACTCGGGTGTGTGTGTTGTCTTAAGGCGGTAAACACGGCTGGGGTAGGCGTGCAGAAACCAGTCCATCGTCGAGATTGCCTCCACCTCCCTCGGGGTGAGCCGCGCAGCGAAGCCCGTCATGACGTTGCGGTAGGAGTAGATAAGGCGCGAGCGCGGGTCACCTTCTTCAGACGCCAGTCCTAATGGTGTAGCTGCACTCTCCAAGAGAGAGGAGTACCAATCGCTCCACTGTTCTGCGACATCGAAGTCCACCTTCTCGGGGCCCTTGACGTGAACAATGTAAGCCTTCGGCTCCTCAGAGCCGTCGACATGCAAGCCGGAGCGGAGGAAGGAAGCACAGAGGTAGAGGACGAGGGAGAGGGCATGTTTGCTGAGAGACATTGCAGGGATGAGAAGATGCATCACAAAGCAGTGGAGGATGGATATTTAAGAGTGCGGCAGAATACTCGATTTAGTGACGAGTAGCTGTTTGCCAAACCGCAGGAAACTCGATTAGGAAATGGATCTTCTATATCAGGAAAAGATTTGTTTGCGCTGAACCAGAATCTAACAGCTGCGCGGACTGTTTGTGCTAAATATATCTGTTTGTGTTGGATTTTTTTCTGTGCTGACCAGAACCAGATTATAGATATGGAAATTTTATCTTTTGTTTGATATTTGTAGTGATTATTTTTTATGATTCTACCATTGAATTCATTGACTATTGTTTCTTTCCATGTCCTTTCTTTGTAGCATTTATTTGAATCCAACCTTATGTAATGGTATTCTTCTTTGTGGACTAAGTGAATAGTAAATGGCTTAATGAGGATGGTTAGAACTTTCGGATCTTGATTACTACTACTGGCTTTTAGTGGATGTTTTGTGCAGGGAATGATATGATTTTTAATGAATGTTTAGAATACTAAAATTACTAAAATTATTGAACAGGTTATGAATGTCCAGATTGAATTATTTATAAACTTAAAATATGACAAACAATATGTGGAAGTAAATTATTTATGCGTTGAAGTCTTGTATTCCTATAGCAAAATTTATAGGATTACGTCATTTTTCGTTCCCGATCTTTTGTTGGAATGGGGGTATTACGCTCTCCTCTTTTATCTTTGATTTGCTCTAATGCTAAAGGGTGACTTTTCTACTCGATCTGATTAAGCAATAATAACTTTTCATTTGAATTAAAAACCTAAGAAATGAAAACTTAAAATTATATATGGCCAATTAAGATATGATATGATTGTACAGTAATGTTTAACCACAAGATCTAAGGGTGATCGAAGGCCAACACCAATTATACAGAGAACAACGATTTTATCTTCTACAACTCATGAAAAAGTGCTATAAAACGAGCACAACATATTTTAGTCAGAATTTGCAAAACATAAATCAGTGTTTGCATCCGCCATTAAATCCTGTTCAGATAAATAAAAATATTTGTGAGCTATATTTGTTGGAAAAAATATGTTAAAGCGGAATAATTTTTTTTTCCCTCTTTGTGTATGGGTTCCTCATCTCAAAATAACTTAATATGAAAAACCCAATACGAAAAAAATCACGGACCGTAGTCTAACTCAAACTTCCACTATCACCAATGATGATAATAGGTTTACAATAAGTCTTTTCTAAAATAACAAAAGGATTATTATAACATCATGACCACGACTCAAGAATAGTATATCATCATCACATAAATGGATCTTATCAAATAAATAATTTTAGGTCTCTTAAAATGAGTATAATAGGAAAGTACCTCAGAGAGGATAAATTATCGATCGACACCATTAGGATTGTAGAGCTTGTTGTAAGGATTCTTCATATATAATTTGGGTCAAAACTGATAAAGTTTGACCCTTGATCATCAAGCAAAAATACTCAAAATTATATTTTTTTTCTCTCTCCTATTTTTCTTTATTCTTTTCTCTCCCCGTGCATCGCCACCGCTCGATGCACGCATATGGACCCAATAAACTAATAAAGGATTCTTTTCTCTCCTCGTTTTTTTTTAATTTTTTTTAATGGTTGATAAATCAGATTTGGGCTTACAACCCAAATCATTAGTCCAACCCCACATATGGGCTGAACGTAATAATTCTTCCCCTCCAACTCATATGGTGGGTTATACTAAACCCGCTCATCACCTATATACTTTAAGCTTATCCTTAGGCAAAGATTTTGTCAACATATCTGATCTATTCTCATTGGTATGTACCTTTTCCAACTGTAATTCTTTCATCTCAAGCACATCACGAATCCAATGATATCTCACATCAATATGCTAGGATCTAAAATGATATATTGAATTCTTGGAGAGGTGAATGACGCTCTGACTATCAAAGTAAACAATATATCCTTCCTGTTTCAAGCCCAATTCCTATAGAAACTTTTTCATCCACAAAGTTTCCTTATAAGTTTCAGTAATTGCTATATATTCTGCTTCTGTGGTTAATAGAGCAACACAATTGTGACATAGTTGCTTTGACCGTCATAGTGAGAGGATGGGTCCATCATGACGGATCTTGCCTCGACCACCGTAGTTGGAGTAGGGGTCCATCGTGACAGATTTTGCCTCGACCATCATAGCAAGAGTAGGGGTCTATCGTGACGGATTTTGCGTCAACCGTCATAGTGGTAGTAGGAGTCTACTATAGTAGGAGTAGGGGTCTACTGTCGGGGATTTGCTTTAGTAGCTCCTTTATTTTTTCTTCAACCTCTCCCTTCTGCTTCGGGAGTTCATTTCCTCTCTAATTTTTGGCCTCCCACTTCTACTTTGGGAGGTCTTCTTCTCTGTTTCTTTTTACCTCCCCCTTCCACCACAGGAGGTTGCTTTTATCACTGCATCTTCACCTGCTTCAAGAGGTAGGGATGGGCTCTCCTTCTGTTGCTCCCAAGAGAGGGCGCTAATTTGGGGCTCCACCATGGCAAGCCTTAGCTCGACCGCCGTAATGAGAGTATTGATCCATCGTAACAGGTCTTCGCTCGATCGCTGTAGCATGAGTATTGATCACTCATGGCGGCTTTTGCCGTAGCGAGTCTTGGCTCGACCGTCATGGCGAGAGTATTGATCCGCCATGGTGGCTTCCACCGTAGTAGGTCTTGGCTCGACTATCGTAGTGGGTCTTAGCTCGACCGTCATAGTGAGAGTATTGATCTGCCATGGCAGCTTCCGCCGTAGCAAGAGTATTGATTCGCCATGGCGGGTCTTGGCTCAACTGTCATAACATGAGTATTGCTCCGTTATGGTAGCTTCTGCCATAGTGAGTCTTGACTCGACCACCGTAGCGAGAGTATTAATATATCATGGTGCTAGTCATAGGTGCCCTGTAAGCCAATCATGTAAGTGATGACACATGGAAACGATACGTACTTTATTTACTTATTATTATTTATTATTATTTTTCTTACTTTATATTGCCTATTGTATATATTGTGATATCCGTGGATCTGTGAAATGAGAATCAGATCATAATGAGATCACGATAACGAGATCGAGTCTTTAAACATAAATCATTAATAATCTTGGTCGTAGGTTACTCAAGAGGGATATCGAGATAACCGGACAGACTAGTGTGTTCAATACCCGTCCATATGACGGAGGCGATTGGTATTATAGCTACTCATGTAGGGATACTAAGGATATAGTGTAAATGCTCATTGGAGAATAAGTTCACCGATTGATCCACTCACGGAATGTTGGATGGTTGATAATACCTCATTATCAGATAATGATTCTGTCATCCCAATTATGTATCTGGTTCTTAGACTTGAGACACCAAAGATGTCCTATATGAGTACTCCACTCTTTAATACCAGACTTATAAGTCAGGGAGTTTCAAATCTAGCATAATTGATCATCGAGAATGACAACCAACCTTACGAGGGCAATTGAGTGTTGATAGAAGATCATCCACTCTCGGTGTCATGAGAGGAGTATCGTTTGTATTCTTGCTCAAGTAAATCCCGGACTAGAATCATTTGGATTGAGATAGTAGAGGAGGAAATGAACTTCGCTACACACATAAGATAAAAACAATAGAAAGAGAGAGAAAAAAAGAAAGATAAATTTATGGTGGATCCAATTTGATATTAATTCTATTGAGATGAATTTCATGAAAAATATATTAGGCATGATTTAATTTATCTTTCTTTTCTATCGATTTAATTAATGTATACAATGATAGATATTGATTTTGATATTCTTAACTAATTTGATATTATGTTAGTGAAAGAAATAAATGAAGAAAAAATGGTGATGTTGGAAAAATAAAAAAAATAAAAGGAAGAATAATAATTGTATGCTTATATTGAGGATATAATGTAAGTATCTAATGACTAAGTCTAATTTGTTTATAAAAGAACTAATGCATTAGTTTAAAATTTATAAATACATATAATTTATATGATTTAAAAGTCATTTTATTATCCAAAAATTAAAAAATATGTTATTAATTTGAAACATATGATTTAAATAATTATTTATTATATTATAGAGATTTATTAATTTATATTATCTGAATTTATATGAAAAATCTATTCAATATTATTTTTGAAAAGCATTAAAAATGCATGATTACTATTAGGAAGGATATATGATACCATCATATTTAAAATGACATGCAAAAAGATTTTTACTTAAACTCTTAATTTGTAAAAGTTATATGTGCTACTTTGGATGACACTATTGTAAAATGGTTTTGAGCTTATCATTGGGATATAATATTATTCGTAGTCATCAATGCTACTATAAATTCTATTGTAATGTCTATATCTTAGTTACACTTATACTTGTGAGCTATTAACTATATTTATGTTTATTTATAAATAATTTTACTGAGTCATGATTTGAAATGCATATGAATTTTAAGCATTGTAAATTGTATAAATATGAAGAAAATATTTGATATGCATGCAGATTTGAAAAACATATATTTAATCAAATATCGGGACAAATAATATTTATACAATGTGCACGTGCATGCATTACTTCAAGAGGATGGAGATTGGGCTTCTAACCACGTGCTTCCTCGACACCCACCTCAGTTGCCCACTGACTCTGCCCGATCGACCTCCGCTTCTCCTGAAGCTGATGCTGAAGCTTTTCTTCTGGTTCACCTTCTTGAACGACAGCGTGGTTGGCGTAACGCTCGCCGTCACCCCCTTCGGCATGTCGACCTTCACCGCGTAAATCGACGTCGGCTTCCCCACATTGGTCACCGTCCGTGTGTAGCTGACCGACTTCGAACTGTTCGCCCGCAGCTTGACCGATATGGAAGGGTAGTTCAGCTCTCCTTGGGAGATGCTCTTAAGAGACGAGCAGCGCACGGGTTTGCGAGTTAGGGCGCTAACAGCTGAGTCGTTGTAGCCGAGGCCACAAAGATACGGAACGTAATCTTCCTGTGTGAGGTCGTAGACGAGACCTGGATCGATGGCCTGCCGTGGATTCACGTGACCCGCGCCTACGGCGAAGAGGTCGGCCGGGTGGTGCAGCTCGTCGAGGATCGGCCCTCCTGTGTTGTCCGTCACGTACGCTGTCGTCATGATGG